TTTTCTCTGTGAGTTCACGCCGGAAGGAGAAGCTGCGGGAGGGTTTAAGAAATTTGATCGTGCGTGAAGAGAGAAAGGAGATACGTATATATATATATAACACAAAAATAGGTTTAGAGTCTTGATAAAAAAGAAACTCACACTCTCACGGTTTGGGTCGGGTTAACGAGTTGGGCTGGCGGTTATCGAGCTCGCGGGTTTCGATTAAATAAAACGTATCGGCTCTCGGGCCCGACTTCGTTGAGATAATACAGATTCCTCGGGCTCGATAAATAAACTCGCACACTTAAATAAACAAACCAAAATAAAATATATATTGATGATACACAATTTAAATTTTTAGAAAATAATAATAATATTAGTAAAATACCAATACGCATTTAAATAAATTAATTACACTTAGACAATTAGGCAATTCAATATTTAGACAATTAAGCAGTTTGACAAATAAATCATATTAGACAATTAATAATTTGTAGCATTTAATAAATAATAATAATAACAATTGGATAATAATAATAATAATAATTATAATAATAATAATAATAATAATTAATCCTCAAAATTCTATAATTCAAACGGGGCATTACAGCTGTGGATTCTCCTTCCAAGTCTGGTGGAGAATCATCAGCTGATAGTGTTGATGATGGTAACTCTACGGACAAGGAGATCTACAAGTTCACCGCTGAACCAGAAAAATCTGTTAACCCCCCTGCTCCTGACAAGGAACCTTCTCTGGTAGATGACAAAGCTGTGGAAGAAACCAAAGATGATGGGCCTGATAGTCCTGTTGCTATTGGTAATGCTTTTTCCCATCAATTTTACTCTCCTCTGTCCGAATCTCGTTATTCGAATGTGTTCTCTCAAATGAAGTTCCGTCCGGAACGAACCATTGTTGTTAATCATTTTGAGAAACTTGGGTTGATTGAATTGCTGAAGAAAGCAGGCCTTGAAGCTTCTGTGTTGAATGTGGAAAAATATTGTCCCAAATTAATTGCTGAGTTTTACTCTAATCTGTCTACCTCTATGTGTGATCCAAAGTCCTTGATGTTTCATAAGGTGTTCGTCAGAAATAGCATTGTTGTTTTCTCTCTGTCTGTGATAAATTCAGTCCTGGGTTTGCCGAAAAATTCATCTCTGTTCCTGACACCTCTGAATGATGACCTAGATGTAGTTGCGGCTACATTGATTGGGGGCAAATTGAGAAAATGGTTGAACCCTGGTCTGTTTGTGAAAAGCTTGACTCCTCAAGCCAATGCCCTTCAGAAGATTGGGTCCTTAAACTGGACTCCAACATCTCATAAACAATTTGTGACGCCTATTCAAGCAAGGGTTATCTATCGAGTTCTATGTGGGAATCAGTTTGACTTGGGGTCTGTCATTTTTGACTATGTAGTCTCTTTTGCTGATGTATCGAAACCACACAAATTGCTGCCTTTTCCCTCCACTATCTATGCGGTTCTCATAAAGGCAGGGATCAAGATGGATTCGCGTGTCGGTGATGAACTTTCTCCATCCCTGAAACCTCTTGCACTGGCTGGGGTCAAGACTGTTCCCTCTATTCTCCGAGTGTTCCTTAACCAGCAAGTGGCTGTTCTCACTGGTTTGGAGAATAAGATTGCAGATCAGCGCCGCTACTACAAAGAGCTCTTAAGGGCCTTGGCTGGTTATGTCCCCTGGCGTCTAAATCGAAAAAAGGGGAGATCAAGAATGTGGCTGCTGAAAAGGAGGAGATCAAGAAGATGTCTGCTGGTAGTAAGGGGGAGAAGTCAAAGGATGCGGAGAAATCCAAGATTGCTGCCACGGCTAAGGGAAAAGAAAAAGTCGGTGCTGCTAAGGAAAAAGAGAAGGCGCTTGAGTCCGAAAAAGGTTCAGATACTGCTGAAGACGATGATGTGGACTCAGATGCTGAGGATGAGGAAGACCAGAAGAAGGTGGTTCTGATGATGAGGAGACTGAGGATGAAGAGGCATCCACTTAGACCTGTGAATGTTCATTTGATCTATGCTGCATTTTGCTCAACTCAAAAACTATTTGCTATGTTTTGTGATGTCATGAACTATTTATTCTGTTTTCTTTTTATGACTGGTTAGGTATGCTTATTATGAACTGATTTATGATGTTTTTTGATTGTCCAGGATTTTATGTTGTTCAGATGAACAACCTTCTTTTACATGTATTAAGGGAAGTTGTAATAAATTGATTACCCCGATTATTGGTCAATACTTGTACATGTATTTGTTATGGCAGGTCTAAAGAGAGATCATGCATTCCATTCCATCTATGACCGCCTTCCATGTGCACTTACCTACCATATGCGTGAGATCCAAATTGAGAAACCTGGACTTACCAAAGATGATATGACTTGGCTGAAAAGATAAAAGAAAATCTTACCATATGAGCTTGTGAATAAAAGGACGACGAGATTACATTGAGTACATTTTATTAATTTTATTTTTTGAAATTATTCGAGTCGACATTATTGTGTATTGAAACCCTTGGATATCTTGAGTGATTTCTGTAAGTGAGGGTGACCATTGTCGAGTGCAATATACAGAGTGTTCGGAGGTTCACTCTGGTTTACTTTGAGGGATTCGAACAAGAAAAACCACAAGGGATTTGTGGTCGGATAAGTAGTAGTGCAATTCATTTTTCAAGTAGAGTGTAGAGGGAGTCTATATTGTAAACCCTTGAAGAATGATTGAGTTGATTGCATTACTTAAAAAAATTCGAAGGGAGAGTGGGACGCTCTCTTGAATGTTCAATTGTTAGTGAATCTGCTTCTGCAATTGTTTGAATCTTCTTGTTACTCTATTATGCTCAATCGTGGGTAACTCTGAATACTTGTTATACAAGTATCAAATTTCAAAGTTTGACCACCAAAATGACCGAAATAATTCACTTGAGCCATGAAATTTTCACTTGGGCTCGGAAATAGTGGGCTGGCGCTGAACTGTGCGCGCTGGGCCCAGGACGAGGGGACTGGGTGCACAGACTGGCCTGGACTGGGCGCTAGGCTGCGCGAGCTGGCCTGTGCACGTGGGCTGAGCGCGAGAAAACTCTTGGACAAAGCAAAATGAATTTCTACGACTTAAATGACTTGACCCATGATCTTATCTTGGTGAATAACACTTAGAAAAATTCTAAGAATTTACTACTAAGGCTCGGCAAATTTTGAACAAGGCTCAGCACTACTATGGTTCAAGAAATGCTTGGGCGCGGTAACTAGGGCTAGCCGCACTAAACTTAGCGCGATTGCTCGTGATCGAACATACTCGGTTCCGATCGCGACTTGACATCGACGATTTCTCGAAATATACTCGACTTCAATTAATTCGTCTACTTGCTATAATTAATCCTGACTCTTAGTGTCCATTTCTAAAATAAACGGACTGGAATTAATTACTGAAACTGGCTCAATTACTGAATAAAATTAAACCGAGAATATTCTCGATTTAAAGTCCAACTTAAAACTGAATAACTTGGTCATTGGGCTCAGAAACTAAAAACGAGCGATAATAATAAAAGGAAAAATAGTTCAAACTCGGAACTAAAAATATCACTTTTATTAATAACAAAACGGGATATTACAATATATCCCCTTAAACTATTTTCGTCCTCAAAAATATTAAAACTGAAAATATATATACAAAATACAACAAAATGTATATACATCTCAAAACTTCAAATCGGAAAAACGAGCACTAATGTCAGCTTTGCGCTCCCAAGTGGCGTCGGACTCTCCGCGGCTATTTCATCTGATATGAACGAGGGGAATATCACGATTCCTGAGCCGATGAACCCTTCGGTCCAAGACTGCTATCGGCTGCTCCTTGTAGGTTAAGTCTGGCTGAATCTGAAGCTCGTTGTGCTGAAGAACACGATATGGATCGGCCACGTACTTCCGTAACATCGATACATGAAAAACATTGTGCAAATTGGACAACTCGGGGGGCAAAGCTAATCGATAGCCTACCTCACGTACTCGCTCGAGAACCTCGAACGAGCCTATGTAATGAGGATGTAACTTCCCCTTCTTCCCGAATCGAACGACCCTTCGCAAAGGTCGAACTTTCAGGATAACTCGATCTCCGGCCTCGAACTACATGTCTCGTCTATGTTTGTCGGTTGAGGACTTCTGCTGACTTTGAGTCGTCTTGAGCCTTTACCAAATCAAGACTACCTGCTCAACTGTTTCCTTAATCATCTTTGGACCGAGTACTCGACGTTCGCCAACTTCGTCCCAATAAAGTGGTGAACAACATCTGCGGCCGTAAAGTTCCTCATAAGGAACCATCTGAATTGACGCCTGATAACTATTGATGTAGGAAAACTCGACCAACGGCAACAACGTCTCCCACTTGGCACCTCTATCCGAAACCAAAGCTTGGAGCATATCTTCAAGTGTCTGGATCGTCTTTTCGGGCTAGTTTTCTGTCTTAGTATGATAAGTCGAAC